GGTGGAACAGGGATCAAGGATGAACTCTTCACCTGAGGGCATTGGGATCATGTATTTCAACTTTCTGGAGTCTACGGCACGCAGCCTCAAGAGAAGTCCTCCCATGGGTGATGCTTGAGGGCACTTATTGGCCAATGGCCTTCCGCCTGGCGGATTCCGAACCGTAATTACCAACCGGCAGACAGAAAAAGGCATTCACAAACAAACCTAAACCTGAAACCTAAGGTCGAGGAGGAGGTTCCAGAGGTCGTGGAGGAGGAGGAGCCCCGGGGCATGTTGGGCAAGATGGGTGCTTGGGTTTAGCAGGTGTTTTGATTTTTGGGGTTTAGGGATTTGGGGCTTTAGGGCTCTAGTCTACAGGGTTTTCGATTTTGGGATTAAATTAAGGCTTTGAGGTTTCAATTCGCGGGGTCTGGTGCTGTCGGGTCTATGAGTCTATGAGTTTCGTTTTCGGGGCTTGAGGGCTGGCTTAGATGATTCAACAGACGCTGCCACCAATGCATCCGAGAAGCATCACCCCGCAATAGGCAGGGTCCGGGTTCGAATCCTATTGAATCTCACTGCTTTTGGATGACCATCTCCGTCTTCTGTATCAGGGCTTAGAAGGCATGGGTGCCGGGTATTTGGACAGTTGATCATCAAGTGGTCGATTTTGGGATATTTTTGGGGCTCAAGGCCTGATCGGATCAGGCATGGAATCACAAAGCAGCTCGAAGCCTAATATAGGGGCCTTAATAATTAGAATAGGGTTTGGGGTATATTATATTATAATAAGGAGCCCCCAAAACACCATTCTAATTATTAAGGCCCCTACATTAAACTTCCTCAACCTTCAACCTATGTCCTGAGCCACTTATGCCTCTCGAGGCATGCCTAGACCCCCCGTGCAGAGAAAAGGCCAAGGGATTTTAAAGAAACCTTAGAAGCTTTGGGTTTGGGGTTTAGGCTTTAGGGTTTAGGGCTTAGGGTTCAGGACCTTGGGACCTTAGGATGTAGCCAAGAAGCAAAAACTTTGTGGCCTAAACCCTAAACCCTAAACCCCAGGAGGCATGCCAAGTTCCAATGTTTTCACGCCGACTGTCGAACATGGATCCTCGCCTGGCTTGTCCGAGTTGTGAGAGTGTAAACCCCAGGAGGAGGAGCCGTCATCACCATCTTCCTTGCCTCCCACTGAGCCTGCGCGCACAGCAGAGCGCGAGTCCAAGGGTTTAGGCCTTGGGGTTTAGGGGTTAGTGTTTGGGTTTAGGGGTTTGGGTTCAGGGTTTAGGGGTTTAGGGGTGAGGGCTT